AAGCGGGAGTGCTATATTGCGCATTCATCTGGCAGCATCCCTTTCAACAAAGAGGTGTGGGCAACTCCAAACAAGGGTCACTGCCCCACGCTGGGACTGTGTACCCTAAATATTTCGTTGATCGTGTCCAAATTAATAGATGTCAAAAAGCTCTGCTTATTCCTAGAAAAAGTCCAGACACGAACATATTACTGCGAAGATACCACTTGCAATTAAAGTGGGAGTTTTGCGCTTAAGCTCCTGATACTCAAAAATATCCTGACTGACATCAAGTTATTCTACATCTTAAATGCCCAATACAGTATGAACAGTAATAAAACAAACACAAAGTAATTTTAGTTTTAAAAGAAATAAGGTACCAATTAAAGTAGTCTGTCTATCAAGCTGTTTCATTCAGTCTCCTCTCAAACACGACTAGTTAAGCTGACTTTGGAGAAGAAAAACAGAACATTCAGAAACTTCTCCCACCTAAAAATAAGCGTCAAAAGCAACATACGGACCAGACACACAGACCTATGAGCTGCACACAGATTACCAATAAATATATGGAAACACCACAATAAAGGACAAGGTTCGTCATAAAAGAAAAAAGTCTGATAACTGCTATTAAGACCATTACAAAAATGAAAGTTAAGTGTATTTTTTGCAGGCATGTGCAAGCACATTACAGTGTAATCAAAGCAGAACTTTGCTATTATTATTACTTTATGCAGCATTACAAGGTTACTGAGGTGCAGTGTTTAATAGTCTAGTCTACAGCTTTTCCTGACCGGAGGAATGCTCACCAAACTCACTATGGACCCACACCCTCTTCAACCATCTGAGTGGGGCAGCATCCCCCACCCCACCAAGCTGCTCCCCATCCAGAGTATCAAAACTCCCAGCTAGGAATTACAAGTCCCACTGATACATGCACATCACTCCTTTAAACACATAAGCCACGTGAGGTCTGCTCACAGCAGGACTGACCATCTTGTAAGTCTTCAGACAGCTTTCCGTTTGTCTACTTCATCTTTGGGAGCCTGCTACATCTAAGAGACGACATCCTTCAATAGCTATGGATTCCCTTTCAGCACTAACTACATCGCCCCAAGAGTCCCATGCTGTCACTTCTACACCCCCCCCCCCCGCCCCCCCACCCCCTCAATGTGAAGAGGTAAATTGCATTGACTAAATCAAAACCGATTCTAGCCTGCCAGCTGAATTTGGTGATCGCTCCTCAATGCCTCTCCCTCCGAATGAAAACACCTTCCTGGTTATTCTTGGTCCTGACTCAGAGAAGCTGATGCTTGAAAGTACCTGAAAGATACCATCAAACACTTGGCATTTTCAATAATTTATCTTAAATTTTCAGCCATGTACAACTGGAAAATAAAAATCTACAGCACCATCTTCTAAAAAGGCACTTTCTGAGGACTGTCTTGCTTAAAAAAAATAAAATCACTCCAAGTTTTAAACAGTGGAACTGATTTGTTTTAAAAGGACCCTATGTTAACTACCCGTGTTAGGTGAGGGGGTACCTCAGACAAGATTTGAAAAGGCCAGGGCACGTGGGATGGAAAGTGGATGGAGTCTCTCCATCAACACCCTTGTTTCTATAAAACTGATGCTTCGGTATTTTCCTTCGCAAGCCTCTCCCTTGCAATTCCTTCCCCTCCATATGCACCTTTGCCTACTCAGGGACAACAATTTGGTTTTGTTTTAGTGTTATAGGGATCGGGATTCTTGAGACTCTGCTAGGGAGGTAAAATGTAGCATCCTGTACCCATCTCGTTCATACCTCAACTACAGAAAGTACAAAATCTTCTACTAGCAGAAAGCATCAATTAGCTCAAGCTCTAACCATTATCTTTTCAGGTTTACAAAAAAACGATGAGTGAACTGGCTAAAGTGAGGTTTTATTTAAACATGTGCCGAAACAAAAGTGATATCCTAACACCCAGTATCAATCTAAAGTACCATCTTTGGGTAGAAAAGACAGACAGCAATCTTGCCCTTTGACATCCCTACAGATTTTTTCACTAGATGCAATCAACCTGCCAGTAGCAGCCACAAAACTCCACAGCACTGAAAGGGACAGAGTATCTGCCTGGCGTGACCAGAGACTAAGATGGCCATTTAGAAATAACAATCTCCAAAAACTGAATTTAGTTTCAATGTACATAATCCGAGCTTTTGATTCCTTGGTTATAAAAGTGCTTCGAGTAAGGTTCTAAACCCTCAGTTCACAAAACGGGGGAAAATACCAAAAGAGGACAAGATATGAAGAAAGTATTAAAAAAAGGCCTCAAGCTTTTTTAAGTGTAGGCTGAGCTTGGAATTTCACCAGAGCGGACTTCAAGACTAGTAGAAAACTAGTATTCATAGCTGGAATTTGTACAGAAGATGACTATCTGGTATCTTATGTTGAGCATTTTATAGGACAAAAATTTGCACATGAAGAAGTGAAAACAGTTTAGGACCAATAGCATCTTGAAATAATTTGACTGACAACTTTCAGAAACCCATTTTACTCCTGAAAACCATTTCTGTGGCCAAACAAACTTCCAAAAGGATGCCAGAATGAACCCTATAAAAATAACTTTTGGATGCGTTTAACCAGATTACACACTGAGCAGTAACACAGCAATCCTGAGTAAAATGGCCACAGCTGAAGTGTCCTACAAAGGAAAAAAGCTACTTACAGTGGAGTCAGTCATTCTGTTAGCAGATGTTGCGAGTTGAACGCCTCAACTACAAAACGCTCTACTTGTCTCCAAATCTGGATCTACTAGTCACCAGATCGCAGGTTTCGGCAAGGCTTTCTGCTAGAAAAAAGTTACGAGAAGCACTGCCGCCAGCCCCGGGGAGCGGTTCCCGCTGTTGGCACAGCACCAGCGCTGCAGCTGCAGGTCTGTACGGCCGGTACACTAAGGCTGCTCCTTCCCCAGTCCAGCCCGGGGGCCCTTGTGCGTGCTCCCACCACGGAAGCAATTAGTGGCACTTGTTAAGTACAAGTGAGGTCTCGGTGCAGTTAAACTGGTACAGTGTCTTAGGAGACAGGAACCGTTTTTCTAGATAGGCATAAAAACGAGGCCAGTATGTCTGCAAAGTAGAACTGTCAGCCTTTGCCCATGTCCCTCTTTGGACTATATACAGACAGCTCCCAGCAAGAGAGGGGGATCTGGTATGCCACTCAAGATTTCCCCAAACAGCACATAAAATTTGAGATTTTTTTTTCTTTTTAAAGGAGAGCAGGTACAAAAATAAAAGAAATCCATATACTCTGAAAATATACTGGAAACTGCCACCACAGATGAGGTACCATTTATCCCGACCCCCCACCCCCAAACTGCAAACATCAAAATATATATGTTTTTAAACAAAGGAGGAATATCTGGCTATTTAATCTCAGTTAAAATGACAGCACCCTTTGTTACACTTGATATTTCACACCATTAATTCTCTTTTGAAAAAAACAAGATATCTAACTAACCTTGATTCCTTGCTTATCTCCTCATTCCTTAGTGCAGTAATTGTCCATCTCCATTTAAATAAATATAGCAGCTACAGCATCATAAATGTGTGGCCCTCACAACGCCAGTAACTTGATATCGTAATACAAATAAGTATCGGCACTTTACGTAGATATTTGCAAAACCAAGAATAAAGATTAAAACGTCCAAATACTCTTCACATGAAAACCAGGTAAAATGCTAGCTCGACAAGTAATTTAACTCACTTTCCCAATGAAATTTCTTTTAATTTTTTTTTTTTGGTGAAAGTAGCAAGCAAAAAAGCTTCTCAAATCATAGTCACTGAGTACAGGCAGGATAAGAAGCATACAGCATCTTTGAAAGGAACATTAAAAGACTTTTAAAAAGGAATTTTCATTGAAATGCCAGAAATCCACAAGTCTTTGTAAAATAGTTTTTTTTAAAAAAATTCTGTTTTAAAACAATTTTCTGTAAAAAGCCTAACCTGAACCTTTTATAAACAGAACTGCTAGCTAGAATGCTTCTAAGAGAAAACTGTCAGGTCACAGACGAAGAGAAACATTTGAGAGACTTATTCGGAAACCATCTTGCTCAAATTATTTTGTTACACTGACCTCCCTGCAGCAGGTTTATCTGAAGGCGCTGAAAGGTAAGTGCATTAAGAAGTCAAAGAGCGTGGCTGGGCCAGTCCCGGCTCCATGGGTGCAGCTGGCGAAGGCGTGCGGCTCCCAGGACCCCAGAGACTCTCAGACACATCAGGGTCTGCCGAGTCTCCCTCCATCACCCTCCCACCTCCTCTACAGGGACCCCCAAGCCACTAGCCAACTGCCCACTGTCACGACTATTTCCAGTGCAATTTTAGCTTTGCAAAGTTAGTCTTTTTACATTATCTTCCTTGATATTGGGAGATAAAATATGTATATACACTAACGGTTTAGTAAAGCTCTTTGAGACAGTGTTGTGAACAGCACTACATACATTTCAATACAATATACAAATGCACAAAATACAGTACTTTGTTTTCTGGCAGAAAAAATGGGGGAGATTCACGTCTGTGGAAGCAAAATGGGCTCAGATTTTAGGCTCAAAATACAGTATATTGGCAAACAGCGGATTTCGTGAGAATGACAGGAGATAAGCTACTTATATCAACCCACTGGTTTTCATGTGGAGAGCAGGTGGAGTTCAGAAGGGCTGGGATAACAGCAATGCCCATACAAACGATCTGCAGTATATATACTATGAACCAGTGCAAATAAAAACAGTCAAAAATGCAGTTCACGAGTTTACAAAGTGCAAAACTCCCCAGTCCCCTCATTGAATAAATGCTCGTCTCTGACATCTTAAATATTGTCTTACCTTTAAAGTGGAATGAAAGAGTCCCATTAATTTGTTTCACATTTCAGTGATTTAACATGTTAGAACTATCCCAGCCCTCTTTATTTGCAAAGTGAAATGAAGTTACCAATAACTTAATTTTAAAAGGAAAGTCATTATCAAAGAGGAAAAAAGCCTAAAAACTTTTAATTCCAGACATTTTACTGATGTCAAATAGATTTAACTAAGCATGTAAAAACTTAGATCTTAATAAAAAACCCCTTCCATTTAATTCAAATATCCTCCACATTTCGAAGCCAAAAATACGGCCAATTCCTTTGTTAAATCAAAACACTGCAGTGACAAGTAAAGCTTGCAGAATTCTAGAAGCATTTTTGCTATTTTTTGATTTAAAAAAGGAAAATTCAAGATTCCTTCTGACTATAAAACTTTCCTTTCAAAATTAAGGCTTTTACTTTGTCCTTTTAAAATCATGGAGGTGTCCATTCTTCCACAGTTAGTGGTACAAACACTGCTTTAGTACAGCTCAATGGACACAGTTTTTCTTTAGAACGCTTATTGCACTAAAAGATAGCAAAACAAGTTGTCAGTTTTTAAAAAATAAACATGGTTACATTTCTAAAAAATAAAAGTTGATGTTGACCATATGTTCTGTAATAATTAAATTAAAGCATTATTATTACTCTAATAAATATAAAAGAAACAAAAGGAAGCTAAACTTCAAAAACACATACATATGAAATCACATTAAGGTGTGAGAGGCAGCAAGTAAACTAGCATTTTTCTTTTTTCCAAAAAGACCTTAGCTCTAAAGTTTCAGTTCTGGTGTTTACTATATGTAATCCCATAAAACTTGGGACATCTGATCTCATGTGAAGCTTCAACATATTTGACTTGCCAGATAGAAAATAATTGAAACTTTTGGACTAGGTAAAACAGCAGCTTTAGTAAATTCACCAGGGAGCAAGAAGAGTTTGGATCACTACTGCCTGCACGTAATACCACTAGCTTCTTTGCTTTTTAAAAGGGAACTATTGGAGCTGAAAACTCCAAAGCTGTGAAGAAAGACACAAAGGCAGCAGTTGGCTAAATTATGTTCAAATTATTGGATTAGTGTGCAAAACTTCTTCCCCTTCCTCAATTTTTTCTAGCTAGTGCTGTACATTCAAATGTACTTGGATATGTTCACATTCGAATGCTTGATGGCAATATTGAGAGAAAGATTCCTCAATGCAGTGGGGTAAAAAACTTAAATTAATTTTTTTTTTTTGCACACTTCCCTCCCCAAACAATCATTGTGATTGTTCCTATAAAGGTGGTTTGCTTTTTTTTTTTTTGAAATTACACCATCAATTTTTTAACTTTTTTTTTTTTGCAAAGATAGTTGTGCTGCCGAGCAACTTGAGGTAAAGGCATAAGAGGGTTAAACTACGAGAAACTAAAAAAAAAAAAGATGGCGGTGCTTCTGCGCCAAAAAAGCGGTTGGCTGGTTTCGTATTGCATAATAGTGCTGTGTTCCTCGATGAAGTAAACAATCTTCCTTGTGTCAATTTAAGGGTTAGCCTCTCGCCCCTGCACAGTGTCAACTTCAGCATGATCGGAGGCACACCCCATAAACCAACCCCACTGAAAACATACATTGTATGTGGCTTAATTTTTCAGTTCTTCCTTTCAGTGAGTATGCTCCCATTTTATTGACTTAAGCGAAGTACATCGTGCGTAAGGTGTCTTGGTGAATTTGTACAGCCTTCGCGAGGGCCTGTGGATCTCTCCCATTGCTTTGTCCTGAAACATGGCTTCCTTCAGCACTGCAAGAAAACAAGACGACGACAAGCAAGGCTGTAAATCATATTAATTTGGATCAAAAAGCCACCCTGACATCTCTTCAACATTGAGGAGAGCAACATGGCAATAGTAATACTGAGAAAAATCAGGATACTGAGAAAAATCTACTTGTCTATTCACCAGCAACCTCAAGGCTTTTGACAAATCTCTTTACCTTAGCTGCTCAGCTTGTTCATCTAAAAATAAGCCTGTTACAAATATATTGATGGCTTGATGGTTATAAAATACTTCTGACGTACAAAGCAGGGTTAGGTAAGTGGAAGGCACTTAACATTTGCTCGATTCATGACTACTCTAATTCTAGAGCAAAAAACTAAATGTGTGGCTTGATTCCCTCAGACCATGTCAAAGTAATAAGAGAATACTTTATTAAACTAAACTCAATTCTTTTAATCTAAGTGTTATTCAGTAGAATCCACCAACCCACTCCTGTCTGACACTAAGCAGCAGCTGTCAGGAATGATTATCTTAAGACTACTCCCAGAGGTAACAGAAATTAACTGCAAAATGAGCAGTAATTATCTACAGTCAGATGGTTTTATGCCCGACAATGGAGCAAAGACCAATAGGGACAAAAACTTAAGCACACATTTTCATTTACCTGTCATGTTCTTTGTCCACGAGATGGTATCGTGCTCTGAATGCTACCAGATGAGCATAATACGCTGGTGCAGGTATAGAAACCGATCGTGTACAGCGCACATATGTGTGGCAGAGCTGGTAAGTCAGCAGCTGAAGTTCATCTGCAGTAAAACAGTTATCATCCCACAAAACATGATAGTGTGAGGGACGGCTGGTACCCTAAGAAGAAGGGAACATGAATTCACTTATCTGGCTTTTCCATACAATCAAGTCAGATTTTTAAGTTCAGAAAGGGCCAGACTATCTAGTCTGAACTCCTACATAACAGCAGCCAAAGAAAATTCAGTCTTATGTCAGCCCTAAATGTGTTCAAAGATGAATAGGAGTCTAACATTCACATGATTATGTTACTCTAATTATTCTTGCTTGCAAAAAAACCCACATGCCTTCTAGATAAGCCTCAACAATCAAAACCTGTTCCCAACATGACTAAACCATTATTACACTACCTCTTAACTACCTTCAATTAAAACTGTTTCTCACCAAGACACATTTCCCAGAGAAATAACTGCTGCTTTTAACTCTCTCCAATTCCTTAGCACCCTAATTTAAAGTATGAACACCAGAAACAGCTCAGTATTTCAGAAGTTACCTGTCGAGTTCTACCCCAAAACACACACTTCCTTACTTCTACACAATGTCATCTTTCCTACAGGTTCAAGAGTTGCATTGCTCTTTGGCATTATGCTGAATCAAATTTTTACATGTCACTCCTGTCAAGGTTCCCTCCAGATACATGCGTTCACCATCAGTACTTCAACGTTTCCTTATAGCTCATTAACCAGTACTGAATACTGAGTACAGTTCTTAGGAACTCTTAAAAGTTCTCTATCAAATGATTGACTTGCACTTGCTCTGAAAGACACTCTTTTGGAGTGAACACTCCTCTTCCCTCCAGCCTCCCCCCACAAAAGGTGTGAGGCACTAGAGTTAAAACTTACAGTGTAACTGAATTAGGTCAATAGTTGTATTTTAACCAGGCTAGAAGTCTCTCTTTTTAAAAATATATTTGTATATATATAAAAAGGTAGCAATTTATTGTGGCTTGCTATATTAAAAACAATGAGCTGCAACTACATCTGGCATTTCTGCTTCAACTTATATTGACACTATTTTTTTTCCAAGGGGCCAAAAACTAGCTTGCCCAGACCTAGCATGAAGATATACATCTAAGTGGAGAAAAGCAGCAGAAGTTTTGAACTCCTTAATAAAAAACATGGCAATGATTCAAAACTTGAAAAGAAAACATGCCCACCAAACCTAAACAAAACTTATGACGATGTGGTCAGACTGACATAAAAATTTGAAGAGTTAATTTTTTTCCATTTTTAAACAATATCCTGATACAATTTTTGGCATTAAGTTGACTCTCCACTGTATTGCTGGCAATAACACCACATTGTTGGATTTAATTTCCATAGCCTGTAATTCACTAGTCTGCACTTAGTCAGCAAATAATCAAACATTGCCTTCAGTCCTTCAAACTGTTTACATTTGAAAACTTGATTCAACGTTAATTTCATTGTGGCTATAAACAATAAAAGTAGAAGTTTTATTTTCAGAAATAACAAAGGCACAAAATAAAGTGACCTCTTTAAAATAAACTTAGGAAAGCATCACTTACCATCAATGCAAGTTTTAAAGGTGTAGCAGAGACCACCTCTTAAGCAAATAATACTGTTAGTCCCACAACACTGTGATACCTCATAAAACTGAGCTAAATGACATTTCCCTACTAAATAACTGTGAACTATAACTGTAACTATAACTATAAACTGTAAACACAACTGTCACAAAAGGGAGAAAAATAACATGTTCTAAATTCACATTTACTTACAAAGAAACAATCATACCTGTATTCCAGCATGGCTACAGAGGTAAAAATCAAACTCATATGGATGTGTAATGTCCGTATCCACAGTTGTTCCAGCTGGAATATTGCCACTTCGTCCAACCTAGAGAAAAGGTTTTGTTAAAAAGTGCAGCTAAGAACTGTTTATACATCTCAACTGTAATTAAAAATAGAAGTTTCTATTCAACACATGCAAGGTTTCAGTGAATGAACTGCCTCAGTTACTGTTTGGAATGTGTCAATACAGCAACCTAGGATTTTGACAAGGACGCTGTACGGCTCCACCATCTCAACGCAGAACATTGCACCTACAGCACTTCAGAACTGTCAATCTCAGAAAGACAGAAAAGCTGCACATACATTTGTATTTAGAATAGTCAGCCTGAGGTTGGATCGACTCACTCAGAAGAATAGAAAAGTTCAGGGTTCCATCATGTTTTATTTTCTTCTACTACAATTGCTGTAGACCTGGTCCTAGTTAGTTACATGAATGTTAGCTATAGTTATAGTTCACTGACAAAGACTAATGGACTACTTTTTTTTTTTTTATTAACATAGTCAAGGTCAATGATTTTTCAACTTGGGGCCACATTTTATGCTTATCAACCCAACATCTTCCCTGAATGCAAAGACAATTGACAGAGAAGCCCATGTTAATATTTTCTCCAGCAGCATAAGTGCTTGACATCAAGCTTTTCACATAAGGCTACTATGAGAGAGGGCAGTGATTACCCTTTCTGTTCTGTCAGCACAGAACAATCGTGTATGATGTCGCTTCTGCACCACAATATAGGTTATTCCAGGCTGGTAATCTTTCTCCAAACTGATGCAGGCTTCTCTAATGGCTAGCAGTTCGTAATACAAAACCTACAAGCACAAGAACAGAGTAGTTTGTTTTCCTTCCATTGTATTCTACACACAATACCTAATAAACAGTTTGTAGTTAACACTTAGTGCAACTTTGCCGCACAGTTAGCAATCTTAGGAAGTACTTAGAAATACAGTGTTTCCCAAGTTCTAAGACCTCTCCTTCCCAGACAGTGAAGAAGTTGCCACTTTTCTTACCCAACGTGCTTAAGAAATTCTCTCCTTAAAAGTCTCAATTATTTTGTGGTATCTTGGTGCAAATGTAGGCAACTCAAACAGCACAGCTATTCAAATATTACAAGTGGAGTTATTATGTAGCAACACAGTCCTTCAAGAAACCCACAAATGAACCAACCTGTCGAAACTGTCCTTCAGAGACCCCGTCCCTATAGAATATGATACGTGTGGGCTTGAACCGTGTTGACTTGTAGAACTGGATGAGAAGCTCTCTCACCATGGAGGCTAGATCTTGGATGATTTCCTGCCGGGGTCGCTGAACTCTCACCGTGGCACAGTACCGGCTTGGATGAGCATCCATACTACCTACAACCTTCAGGGGAAGATTACATGAGTAAAGACTTCAAGAGCAAATCTATACTCCCAAAAAATTAAAATAGCAGAAAAGCCAAGAAGAACAATTTTCAAGTAAAAAATGCTTATGTTAGAACAACCACAGTAACATTTTTAACTGTAACTTGTAGTAGGTACAGGTTTGAACTCTTTTTGAAAAGAGTTATAAAACTTGCGCTCCAAGCACCCTGAAATGCATCTGCAGAATTGGGGTCTCCCCCGCTGCTGACAGCACACTAATGCATATTCTGATAATCCAGACACAGCCATTTTTTCTTTGAAGTTTTCTCACCTTTTACACAGAGAAACACTTCAGTTTGCCTTAGTTACTTTAAGTAAGGACACAGTTTCCATAACTGCAGTCAATGCCAAATAAAATACCAAGGGGACAAAATAGGAAGGGACTGACCAAGCATCCAACCACCACCTTGATCTCCTGGACTGTACCAACACAAAAGGTAAGAAGCATCAAAAGCATTCCTGCCGAACCAGGCCTTTTTTATATTTTTTAAAGGGAGAAAAATGTAATTAATGTTATTAACTAACATCAAAGCTGCATTATTTCCTTTAGAATATTTTTGCAGAAATATATTATTTAACATGACTGCCATTTTACCTTGATTTAAAAATTAAAAACTAAGAAAACAGTCTAAAGTATCAAGCAGTGTTTTTCTTTTAAAGACATGATTTTTAATAACACTGGGAACGTGTACAAAGAACTGGCATAAGCCCTGAAATATATTTGACATAGACATAGTCCATGAGTTGCATTTACTATTCTAACATTTACCTAAGATGAAAAAACAATGCTAATTTAATAAAACTTACAGCAGCTATTGAAGGCTTCTTTCCATCTCCAGCAGGAGGGTGAGTGACATCAGCTCCCAAAAAGATCACTGGCTGCTGGAACACAGAAGGTCTTCAAAAAGAAAAAAGTGCTAAGTCACACTTGTAGATGAACAGTTGGCACAAGGTTATTGCTCAATATGGGGTTTTGTTTATATTTCAGCTAAGCTGCACAGAGAAGCCTTCTTATCAGGTACTCTGGCCAAACCTAAACAATGAAATCTTTGTGCTCAAGATGTGAGCTTCAAAACCACCACAGCAGTCATTCCAAAATAAACTGCCATTGAACTGTGGCATGATTCTAGTGGAGAAAAGCCACAGACCTACACATGAACAGTACAGACGGCTTCTTACAGAAACTATCATTCTACAGGATGATTACACTAGCCATGCAACAAATGGCTGGATGCAGTAGTGCACACATTATTCTGGCTTACAGGATTTAAGGAGCAGGATGGTCTCCCAGTGCCTTTAAAATATTCTTCCATACACCACTGGACTCCAAGCTCTCAGGAAAGAATTCTTAAGACTTGCACTCCAAAAGTTTTTCTGGCTTGCTACCTTGCATTATGCATATTTCCGCTCAAGGAACAGGTATGCTCTAGTAAAGGTTAGAGTCAATCCAAATTTCTGCTCTTCAGGACTGAGAGACTTGTGCTTCTCCAGAATGATCCAGAAACGAGCACACATGGGTTGGACTTCTCAAACCTTCTCACTGAAGGCATCAAAGCAATTGGAGCACACATTCAAATAGAGCTTAGAGACCAGCTATGAACAAGTGTGAGCTGAATTACTCAGACTATTACAGTGAGAGAAGATGCCTCCAGTGTTCTTCTACCCTCATTAACATTGGTATGTCCAACAGTTATATTCTGTGATGTGTTGTATGCTCTTAAATTCACAAAAACTTCTGATCATATTAATATTTCAACATCTCTAGATCTGCAGTTTCTCTTCAAATTTTTGATACTGATCAAACATTTGAAAAGAACCTTGGCTTAAGATGTAACTCATGGGCCAACAACTGCTCAGACCCATGCCAGAAGAAATTTAATGCTACCTCAAATATTTGAAGGTACCAGAAGAATATTTCACCTTAAAATTTAGCCATGTTTAAATTCTAGGTGCTAAGTAGCAAACGTAATCACGTCTGTTAAAACAAAACCCAAATCAGTCTCCGTGAAGAGTCTTACCGTTGATGAGGTACAAGGATGTTGTTGATTCCTCCTAGTTTAACATTAATCTTCAGGCACAGATTTGATAGGGTCTGTGGAGATGTTTTAATGACATTCTTGACTTGAACACACTGTGTGGCCATTCCCAACAGTGTATCTCCCACACGCTTCACCTCCGCTGAGAAGCAAATATTAGGATACAACTTGAGTCCATTTGAAATTATGGCTATATTTTGATATTAGCTTAAGTCACAATAATTTAAACGTACATACTCTGCAAAATAACTTCCAACTTATCTGCATACTCAGACCTGCTTCCAATTTGTTTTATCTTCAGATGCAAAACATTGGTTTCTAATGTCTAAAGAATGGTCCTGAAGAATTTTCTAACTTATGCTGGGCAGCAAATTTCTCAGAACAATACTTGACCAAACAGGTAAAAGACAGAGATATTCCCTTACCATACACCGGTGTTTTCCCTGGCAGGATGACAATGATGAGCTGAAGCCCTGAATAGGTGTTCTTGAGGTGTCGAAACATGGGCTCCACACTGTCTGCACCCTGGGCATATTTACAGAAACAGGGCTGGCCTTGGATGGGCATCCCTGCATCTTTGGAGATCTTGCGCAGCTGGTCTGTGAAACCCCTAAAGATGAGAAGCTTTTTTGAATTTTTGCAGTAGCAATAGCACACAACCACCAAAGCAGAAGGGGACAGAAGAACTGTGTTACTCAAATGAAGACAATTCCAAATAGCTTTTAAAGCAGCATTTTAAAAATGTTCATTACGTGGAGGCTGTACAGCTTTGAAACCCCACAGGCCAGAATGGGAAAGAAGAGTTTAGACACCTTTAGTATTTCATTCAAGATGCTAGAAGGAACTATATACAAAGCAGCAATGTCACAGGACCAAAACCCCACGGTGTACCCAGGTACAGTGTTTTGACTGTAGCTTCCAGCAAGGAAGCAAAACAGCTTGGATTCTCTCCCTAACATCTTTGATGATTAAAATCAGGTAAAACACTCATTAGAAGTCCTACATTCATGTTTTCACTAAGATGGCTTCATTAAGAGAAAAGTCCAAAGCCTGAACCATGACATGCCTTACTTCAGTATTTCTTCTCTGCATTGTCTTTGTGTTGCAAAGCAAGCTATAGCCCACATTTTGATCTCAACACCAGTGTGAAACTGCTTCCCTCGCATGTCCCATACTCCGTGGCTTGGGGTTGCCACTGTTCGATTCTGTGGAAACAAAAGTGATAGATACTCAAGTGACTGGGAAAAAAAAAGCCTATGCTATTTTCAGTTTCAGGTTAACAAAAAGAAGTTTACCATTCAAACTCTGATCCCTGTATTGCACAATGCAACTGAACTGACTTAAAATAGTCACTGTGCACAGGAAATCACTCTTCAAAACAGAAACAAAATGCAAAACTCTCACCCGTCCTCCATACTGCAACATTGGAGCTGGGAGCACGCGCCCTGTCACATGGGCCATCTCATCACGGACCTTGAACTGGAACTCTTGAACAAACGGATCTGCATCATAATTTGCACTTCTCACCTAGAAGAAGAGTTTTTCCATGTTACAGGAGTATCTCTTTATAATTCATATAACAAACAAAAGGCTAACAGGAATGCTGCAGAAGTGTTATACAACAATTCCCCTTGTCATTGAAAAAAGCTCAGATTTAACTGCTCAACACTATCAACCTATCCCCAGTGAAAACAATTAATACCATGAAATACATTGGATGAGATTTTTTTTGTTCCCTTAGTTACTCGAGTGCTCATTTGTAGTATGCTCATTCAAAAGCATTTCGTTTACTCACAGGATAGATCAAAAAGCCTTCTCCTTTAGAGACAAGCAAACCCAAGATTAAAAAAAATTAATTCACTTTATTATGGCACATTCATGTCTTCTGTATTTTCCAGAGGAGACTTATTTTAACTGAAAAATTTTGGCTAACTTGTCAGCTCAAAACCCAGACTGTTTCAAATAAGTATAAGAGTATTCAACTAAAAATGTTCAAGTTTTATAATATTTCAAGTTAGAAAAAAACAATGACATTTAGGGTGTCTGGATTCAGCACCAAGAAAAGATACTGGTGTTATCAGGTGAAAACATGTAGTGTCTACTAAAGAAAGCAAACATCTCAAGTACAAGACTGAGGTTTAGGAGACCTAGAATCATTCTTCTACCCTGTTACAGATTCTTTGCATTATTCTGGACAAATCAAGTTGCTCCAGTTTGTTTTCAGTATCTATTAAAATTAAGTAGTGATGCTACTATATCTTCAAACTATTAACAGAAAAAAAAAAAAAAGGGCAATGGTCAAGACCCAAGTCTTTAGAGTCTAGCTCATGATTTTAAAAGTATTTAGCACCACTACAAATATAAGCATCCTATAATAATGAAAAAAAGTATGGTGTTCAAATATCAACAGGAATCAAGGAACAGAAATGCACCTAGAACAAAATCTTACTCTCATGAATTTGGGTACTAAAACCAAGTCCATTTCACAAATTTGTTTAAAAGCCCTGATGTCCCAATACAACATAACACTGAACTATTTGTCCTGAGTATTTCCAATACCTACTTAGAAGCAATTGTAAAGATTATAACACAAGAGCCCATACTGCTGGACTCAAGGTATTGTTGGAAGCTATTTTAAATAAGTCATGTTAAAGAATGTACTTAATCTATTACATTAAAGGGCTAGAAGGAATGAAGAGACTAGGCAGGTCACATAAGAAGATTTTGCATTAATGTTATCTGCGAGTAGCATCACACCAAACTGAAATTAAAGAACTAACCAATCTGCTTATTTCCTCTTGTCTATCTGGAGCAGATCTTGCTGTGGCCTTTATCATAGTCGATGTCTGATTGTCCGTTAGCTTCTTGATACACCGCTGGCCAGCTACAATGTTACATACCTTAAAGGAAAATCAGAAGCGTCAATACACAATAGGAGCACTTAGAAACAGATCCCAACATACCGTACGTACACAGTACTATGCTATCACTACAAAACACACCCTCAATGTGTTTAAGGAACTGCGTACTTCTTTCTCATAGTTCTAAACTTTAAAGCAGTTTTAAAAATGTAGGTAAGTCTTTAGTGAAAGAAAAGAATAACAAACATGTAAATATGTAAAGATGCTTGTACTGCAAAGTGCACTACTTCTTAACATTTTGCAAAATGATATAGTCTACCCATATCAAGCTGATTTATCAGAACGAGTTCATTACTTCTAAAGGCAGGTAGGTGTGTTTCTGTTCTTGTCCCACTTGTAGGCAAGGAAGATGAGGGTATTTCAGCTGGAGGTTGTATTTCTCTCTGAAATACTGTGCTACTGTTCTCTCCACAGTCTGGCCATTTTCTAACTGTAAAGGAAAGCTGAAAAGACATAAATTTTAATAAAATGTAAAGAAATCTTAGTTGGCAAGTATCGACATCCCCCAAACTAATCAAATATTAGGTCCTGATAGACATTCAGTGTTAAGCTATCACAGATTTTATGCTCTGACAAAAAGCATCTTACGTTTGATGACTTGCAGGCCTTCTTGTTACGTTACAAACGCGGTATTTCCTTCTCATCGTTCCACAGTGAGTCACTTCTACCTTTAGACCTGCACAAAAGCACCCAAAACCCCGATGTCATAACTACACAAAAATTTGCACAGGAGACACAAGGTTTCTTATAACAGAACATGTTCTAATCCAACAGCTTTGATGGTCAGCATCAAACAGCACAACATAAGAAATTATTATTCTCTAAACATTTTGCTTTCATTATGATTTAATTTCTGACTAATCAGTTATTATCCTCAAAAACAAATCATAGTGTGTAATATTTAATGTTCTGTCACCTGAATTTCTTGTAGCAGTTTCATTTAACAGGCATGTGACTGATCTCAGACACAGACAGTTGTTTTCACCATATTGTTTTGTTCTCATTCTCAATGCTGCATACCTCTTAAAACTAGCAGTTCCAATGTAATTGAATTTAAAAGGGCAAAGCCAGATTTCTGCCTTATTGTTCATTTTCCCCCCTAGCTTTGTGTCCACATTCAGCCTGTAATTTTCTTTAATTTCACCGACCCAGTTTAACTTCAGATTTTGAGCAGCTGAAGGCCTCGTCTAAAAGCACCCAGCCCACACAAGAGGCTCAGCAGACTTGAGTCTCTATCCACAATAATGACAGCAACAATGGCAGCTTCAAGAGGCTTTCAGTGGCTATTTCTATTAACTGTGCATGCACTGTCTGTACTGTACAGAGAGAGCAGACTCAACATCTGCTGAAGTACTGGGCTTATCACACAAGTGCTGCATAGCATCAACATGCTGTTATGTCTTTCCCCAGCCCCATGGCAGAGAAGGCAGTTGAAAACAGAGCCTTCTCACCCAAAAGATTCAACCTACAGTCTACTAGTACAGTCTTTTGAGAAAGCAGTTGGATGACTTGTCCTGTTGAGGCTTGTGGACCACAGACTGAATACCCCATATCAAATCAGGTCCCTAAGTACCAGATAGCAGATACCATGTTTAGTTTACTAGGGAGACAGACATTCCAAAGAAGTATCAACTGTACTTCACTGATTCCTGACAACACTAATTGCGACACTAACACCAGTATTACTTAGAGGATGGCATAATCAAAAATAAACTACTGCTGCCCTGATACAGCATTAAGAGAAAATACAAAAAAAGAAACCAGGAAGCACTGTGGCCAAGCAGAAAAGGGCTGTGAATACACAGATACCTGGAACCCGTTCACTGCTTTGTCATTAATCTGCTGTGACACTACAGAAGGCACTACCCTCCCACAGAGCTGCTCACAGGCTCCAATTCTTTAATGCAGGATTTGTTTCACTATACATGAGCACATCTTGGCTGGAGTTCCCATATACTACAGTAATAAAAATAAATATTGACAGCAAAGGTAACCTTTCAATATTGTCTGACTATGGCAGCAAAGTGTCTGAGGCATGCCAGATCAAGCAAAGACAGCTTCTCATTCTCCAGTTAGCTGTCTTCCAGAATGAAAACAGACAGGTAGATGTAAAAAGGAGGTGTGTTAAGACTACTACAAAATAATTCCTTTAAGGTTTTTTTTTTTTTTTTACTAATGACTATTCTATGAACACATCAGTTTATAACTATAGCTCAGATTTATTTTTTTGCTGTCCAGTATTTCAATATAATCTAATCTTGCATCAAGTAACACAAGCATTTAAGAGCAGAGCTTTGAAAAACCGAGCTCTTTCAAGGTTCCTCTGTCTGCCAATTACACTGGAATAAAAGGATATGGGAAACACAAAGCAAAGTAGCATATATGGAGTGAAACTACTCAAACCAGCAGCTTATGCAATTCCTTTGGAATGGAATTTGGCCTTCAGCTGCAAGTTAGCAAGTGGTACTTGTTTTTCTACAAGGCAATCAGTTATTAGAAGTCAGTGCAACAGCATACTTTCAAAGAATCAATGATGTTAGCTTTGAAATCAATTTTCATTTTGCCTCAGCATTTAAACAGTGGGAGACTTACAGCACAATACCACTATGGCCTCAATGACCCTTGCTTATAAAAGGTTAGCCATCCAGCAAGGCAACAGCCACTTACCTCTATCCAGGCAATAAAGAAAACAATTTCTCTTTCCCTCTTTAAGCCACTGGGAACATACCTAATTTTTCATCTTTCATTTCTGTAGAGCTGCATTGTTTCATTCAGGACTAGGACTAGAACTAGAAACAGGGCGTACTGCCGTTGGCAGTCCCAGGGCCCTTCTGATACGTGCTAAACAGGAGGTTTCCAGTTCAAACAAGTCCCTTAGAATTAAATCGACTGCATTACCTGGGACAGAACAGATACACTTCTACTCACCCTTTATCTCTTTGGTGAATTTTACCCGATGAGAATCAGTCAGAGGTCTTGGTTGTTCATCGATATTATGAATGTCAAGAACTTCACACATAAACTGAATTACAGGTTGTGCTTTATAGAAGGCAGTGGCAGAAACTAAAAAGAGCAAAATATTAAGTGTGAAAACCCCAAGTCAGAATGTTGTGAAGCAGTATACAAAAGAATGCTTTTTAAAATTCCAGGTAACCCTCAAGCAGATGTTGTGGAGCACACATTTTTAAAAACGGATTAGCAAGCCTTGCAACAACTAAGTATACAAAAGCCAGCATAGAGCCCACAGTCACACATCAGTCTCCAGCACAGTCATCCTGTAACTACTTTGCATTTCAGGGTTTTGAAAGGGTTTTTCCCCAGATAGTATTTATTTCTAGAGAGCTGTAACGTCCCCGAGAGACATTCTCTTTCGACTCTGTATGGAGCTGCAAGCAGAGACAGTATTAATATCTCTCTACTGAAGACCTTTTAACATGAAAAGCTAAGATTATTCAATATGCAATATAATTTTGTCAATGATACAATCTCAAGTACTGAAACAATATTTGGGAGAAACGAGCACTATTTTGACTATACACCAATTATGTTAGTGTCGTGGGGCGTGCAACCCTTGATCTACCAAAACATCTTACCCTCCCTGCATACTAACGACACAATCACATTAAGTGACAATATTCTGTTTTTAAACAGGACAGTTGACTCATTCCATGGAAGGAAGACCATAAACAATCTGTTTGACAAAGCTATAAGCAACTGAAAGAGTATCTTTTAGTAAGAAAGGTGAGGTGGCACTAAATATATCTCAAACACAAACTACTCCATACATTTAAAACTTTAAATGGCAACAACAGAAGAGAAATACTTGACAAGCATTTTATTAGTTTTCCAGATCTCATGTACCAAAACCACCACACATCAGTGCTAATACAATGAAACATTTTTCAGACGTGTGTCACTTTAGCAGGCTGCCAACTTTACTCGACACACTCTGGCCAACACCTCCGGATGTCGATTACTGAATGAACACAAACAGCTTACACCCCCAGCGACTGGCAGGGTGCAGTTTGTTTCCCACAGCAACATAAGCGACACAGAGAAAAACAGATTTTGCAGAGAACTTCGTACGAGTTTGTATTGGCTTTGTGTGGCAAGGTTTTGGTAGCGGGGGGCTACAGGGGTGGCTTCTGTGAGAGGCTGCTGGAAGCTTCCTCTGTGTCTGACAGAGCCGATGCCAGCCGGCTCCAAGACGGACCCGCCGCCGGCCAAGGCTGAGCCCATCAGCAACAGTGGTAGCGCCTCTGTGGTAACATATTTAAGAAGGAAAAAAAGTTGCTGGGACAGACAGAAACAGCAGCCAGAGAGAGGAGTGAGAACATGCGAGAGAAACAATCCTGCAGACACCAAGGTCAGCGATGAAGGAAGGGGAGTAGGTGCTCCAGGCGCCAAAGCAGAGATTCCCCTGCAGCTGGTGGTGAAGACCATGGTGAGGCAGGCTGTCCCCCTGCAGCCCAGGGAGGTCCACGGTGGAGCAGATCTCCACCTGCAGCCCGTGGAGGACCCCAAGATGGAGCAGGCAGATGCCTGAAGGAGGCTGTGACCCCATGGGAACCCCGCGCTGGAGCAGGCTCCTGGCAGGACCTGTGGCCCCGTGGAGAGAGGAGCCCATGCTGGAGCAGGTTTGCTGGCAGGACGTGTGACCCCTGACCCACGCTGGAGCAGTCTGTGCCTGAAGGACTGCAGCCCTTGGAAGGGACCCACGTTGGAGAAGTTTGTATCTCCCATGGGAGGGACCCCGCGCTGGAGCAGGGGAAGTGTGATGAGTCCTGCCCCTGAGGAGGATGAAGTGGCAGAAATAATGTGTGATGAACTGACCGTAAAACCCCATTCCCCATCCCCCTGTGCCACTGCAGGGGGGAAAGGTAGAGAATCCGGGAGTGAAGTGCCCGGGAAGAAGGGAGGGGTGGAGGGAAGGTGTTCTGAGATTTGGTTTTATTTCTCATTACCCTACTCTGGTTGATTGGTAATAAATTGAAATAATTTTCCCCAAGTTAAGTCTCTTTTGCCAGTGACGGTAATTGGCAAGTGATCTCTCCCGCCACAGAGTTAAACAACTAGAACAAAATCAAGCGATAGGATTTGAACATCATCTTTGCAGCCTCAAACCACAATATAAAGTGATTGCCCTGTAAATTGTAGCATAGAAAGTTCTTAAGTTTCTCATTCACAGAAAGGACTGAAAAATTTCTACTGCAAGAGTTACTACTATGCTGCCTAATGACGGTAAGAAAAATTTGCTTCACAGAAAGTAATAGCACAGTACATCATAAATTGGTATAAATTAACTACAATTCAGGTAGGACAAGAGTATTATCTCAGTACCTAGCATATAGATAATAGTACTGGTTATTTCTCAGACAGGTAAGACTTTTACATTCATCTTTCAAACAATAGCTACACCATGGCTGCTGTTTGAAAGGTAATTTTACAAGAACAAACCCATCTGAAGTCACATGAGTATTCTCCACAATTTAGGTAAACCAGAACACATGGACTTGCAAATTTTCAGCGCGAAAGCTCAATATCATCTGCAACATTTTATTATGCTCCAAGACAGACACTAAGCACAACTTAACTTAAGAGTGCTTAACCTAGTGCAAAAAAGACAGACTATTTACCTTGGGTGTATACAGCATTTCAAACAGTGAGAACAGAATGCAAATTAGAGAAAACTTTATGCAGCACCTGCATCTCAAACACTGACGCTTTTCAACAGGGGTTTAACAACTAGAGTCAGAGTGCTTACAGAACCAGGGAGTCTGACACATGCACCAGTTGATCTCAGATGCATTCATCTGGGACTTTATAAAGTGGTGCAAAGCAGATTTGATTTTGCATAAGAAAGCCCATCTCAATTAGCCCTATTCACAAAAGTGCTTGTGATATATTTTACAGAGTTTTCTTGCAAGTATTGAATAACACCTACTGCGGACAGCTGCATGGAAACACATCTTAAGCAATTTGCCTGTATCACTGTGGATGTACCAATAGAGAAATTAAGTAGGAAAACAAGCTATGCTAGACTTGTCCTTCCTATATAGCAGGGTTTTTTTAATATGGCAGGTAAATTTCTGCCCAAACACTGACATGATGACAAATCCAGAAAAAGAGACTATGATTTCTAGGTAGCCTTTGCCACACAGGTCTGGTCTGAACTGGCTGAACAGGAAGCCAACGTATGCATACATACACTTCATTATTACAATCTCACTCTACGATTATCATTACAACTTCTGCAGTAGGTTGACTTCACAGTTAATGTTGCATTTCATAAGGATATTACAAGAGACAACTACTAAATCTTCAAACTGAGCAATGAGACACAAGTATTTTTCAGGTGAAAACCCCTAGTGTATAACGCAATTAAAGTTTGAAAGTTTTCTTATTCTGACAAATTCTAGCAAAACACCCCAAGCTTCTTTAACTCTTTATTATCTACAATATGAATTAAGAAATCAGTGTAGAAGATGGCTTCTGGTTACTAAATCCCCCTGCACAGATGGCACCAAAAGTTATTACCACACAGAAATATGGTACCACAAACTCAGCCAAAATGACCAAAAGGCAAAGTCGTTTTTATTCTTAGAGGCATGTTCATTATTATCTTTATTCTTAACCCTGAATCCCAACTTACCATCAATATTGAGCATCATCTTCCACATGGCAGGCCGAACAGACTGATGGAATCCAAACCAGACCTCCCTACCCCCACCCAAGGGGTGATCATAGCCTTCCGGAGCTGAGAAAAAGGAGCGGCCCACAGGGGTATACCTAGTGAAAAAGTTGACCACACGTTTATGCTATTGCTTTCCAAATATAAAGTACTGCTTTCCAAATAAAAAATTCTATAATAAAGATTACAACACACAGCGTTATTATTTTTGGAATTTTGTGTACCAGGAATCTGTGCCTAGAATCAAGTTTAAATAACACACTCTTCTGTTCCTATTGCAGTGTTTTTAAATTTAGACAACGCATTTACTAGTTTTATCAACACAAAACCACTTTCAGTTTTTACAACAAATTGCGAACTAAGTTAACTTACCCTTTCTGATCTTCCACTTCAAGAAAGTATAATCTCCATCACAGCAGATTCTGTACAACAGCATTGTATACACTGGACTGAACCTCAAATACCATTTTGCATGTTTTACTAGGGAATATTTGAATACAATGTACACTCAGAGAAGTAATACCTATGGTAGAAATAAAGTACTAGAGAAACTAATGTTTCTCTCTCAGACAGAAAACAGCTGCTCATGAACCTCCACACCTCCTCACATTTGTAATGGACAGGCATTAGTATAGTGGTTAACATCTTTCATATTTCCTTAGGATCTGGGGTAGATGAGGAACACTGGCTTCCATAAAACCACATATTAAGAGTCAGCTACACCCAATGAAAAACACCTGTGCAAAGCCATCCTACCATCTAAAGCCAGCAATCAAACTTTAAAAGTAACTTTCATTGATCAAATAAAGCAAAATTAATTTGGCCTTCTCTAATGTTTCAGGGTTCTGAGATAATGAATAACAGACTTTGTTAGGACAGGTATCTAGTCTCAACTGTGTATTTAAAACATGAGAAGCATGCACCATTGATGGGTACATCAATGAATTAAAGACTCATGCTTTTTAGACAGTCACAGCCATCAGGTGCATGATACTTGGCTCAACTTGAGCAGAAAACATGAAAGCAGTGCTACAGCATACTGTAATCTCTCAGTTATTTCAATTAATGCCTATTATGAGTGTCTCCTGTTTCATGATCTTTTCAAACAAATACATCACCTGCTCTGGAGTTTAAATGCCTACAGAAATACACACTTCTACATAATTAGCTTCAATCTCCCCAGTTCAGCTAACCAGCTGTGCTGCGTAAGGGGAATGATCATTTTTTCTTTTCACCTGTGAAGAAACAGGGATGAAGGTCTCCCAGTGGGGATACTTCAGGTAAAGACAGACTGCAGGAAGACAGTGAACCTACTTCATGGAGGGTAGGTGTCGTAGCACCACATCGACAGCATGAACAGGGTTAGTGCTGATAGGTTTGTCTAGTTCCAGAGGCTCAGGCAAGGTTCTTCCTGTCAAAACTTCATGCAGCAAGTGCCAGCTCACCCGAGAAACAAACTTTATTGACACTTTGAAGGGACGATCTTTTCCACCTTCTCCCGGTAATGTCACATCCAAATCCACCTGCATGGGGGGAAAGCAGCTGTTTAATCTCCAGTCTGGTAGTCCCGAGTTTCCACACTTTCCCATAACTGGGCCAGAGACTCAAACTCAGATATTTAGGACACAGCACATTTGATAAAAGTACATTATCAAATGCGCAAAATAAAGAGAACTGGGTCCTCACCAAGCTGAAGAGGATCATGTAACTTTGTCATCTTGAATCAGAAAACTCTTAATTCCAGAGAAACTGTGGTTTGATTTTTTTTATCAGTACTTCATCGTAAGATAACATATTACAGTCTGTAAAACTGAGCATTTAATAGATTTTGCTGTAGAAAGAGGACACTAAATTGTAGGGGAGGTTCTGAATGCAACTAGTACATGCACATTCACATACATTGGAATTTGCAGAAAATACATTAGAAGGACTCTTTCAATACAGATACTTTAAGATACTTTCAGTTTTTCTGAACTCAGCAATATTAGAAGTTGGGCTTGTTTCTTTTTCTGTCCTATGAAGCTGCTACAAGTACCATTTTTTTCTAGTTATCTTACCCCAGTAGTGGCCACAGGAAGCGGATTGGCTGTATAGAGGCTTCTTTTCCCATCATAAACTGGTCTACGGTCCCCAAATATTGTCACTTTAAAATGCTGCACCATTGAGTCCACCACCTCCCTAGAAAAGTTCATATTTACAGTGAAGAAGTTTTCAAAGAAATATCAGACTGGAACTGGCTCCCACACCGCCTGTGTTTTGCTGAAGTAGTTTCAACAAACATATTACTCAAGTGAATTATAGAACACCCACTGCTATTGCAAAAAGATGCTTCACATACTTCAACTAAAATAACAGATAAACACTAAAGAATGAAACCATAATCAACACAAATGCTCAAATACTGGAAATAATTTCAGAAAGTGCTAGAAACAGCTGGGGCCTTTGTATAACCTTTGTTACAGCACAACTCTATCTTATTCGACACAACATTAACTCCCTTATTCTACAGAAATTAAACGCTTTTCTTAAGCATATGCAAAGCAGCATTCTTGCAAAGCAGAAGCTTACTAGTATACTGTTGCCTGACCAGGAAACGTTAGCTTAAAGTACTTCGGAAGACGATAAATACTGACTTCCTCTTCAAGCAAAATTAGTAGCAGTACTTTCACCTCTCAGCTGGGATTGGGGCAAGGAAAGAGAAACTCTCTATTTCACAGTTCTTTATGTTACTAAACACTCAGAATCCAAATTCTTTCACTGGCTAAAAGCACGTCAATACACTTGAGCAATTTCAGAATATCTACTTAGCACTCAGTCATGCTCCTGCACGAGCCCATCTTATCCGAGAACCCCAGTCTGCACTGGTACACTGCTCCCTTCTAACACTACACACAGGGCTACGCGTGCAAAAGAAATTATTTCGGTAAGTGCCAGCTTGTTGTCACATAACCTGTGACAAAAGCAGAGGGATAAAAGCTAGCCATGAAGAGTAGGAGCAGCAGGGAGAGAGCAAGAGGCTCTGTAAAACAAACCTCCCATATTAGAGTTCTCAGCTGTAGCTCTGCTATTCATCTCGCACATACGGCACGCTTCAAAGCAAAGCGTTGTTTACCTTCTGCTTTCCAGTTTACAACACAGCGGAAGCAGTGGTAAAGAACATCGCTATAAAGGAAAGTGAAAAGGAAACAGAAGACACTCTAGATTTTAAATCCTCCCTACAGCTAAAAGCTAATAACGGTGCAGGTGAATTTAAAAAAGCCAAAAACTATTCAAGAACTAAAACCTCTATTTATTCCAAACACAAGCATGCAGACAGGATGCTAGTCACAAACTATTTCAGAATAGCTGAGTCTATGTAAATCCACTGACTTCTTAGAAATAACTGTCACAGCATGCAAAAGAAAGGGAAAAACATATTTCTAAGGAAAATTCTTCAAAGCAGGTATTTCAGTATACTGATTTCAATTTAGACTAATGAAAGCCATTCTTCTCTGCGTAATCCACAGCACACTATCCAGTCATTTATTCAGCAGATACTATATTCTTTTATTTGGCTCATTTATACAAGCTCTTGCAGTTTTAAACTAACACCTGCCACATTTTTACACACGTGAAAGTTGGTAAAGTAGTAGTATTTTTAAATAACCAATTTCATGGTTCCCTACTTTGAAAAAACCAATATGCGTGCAAGATTTACCCTCAGCTTTCAAACTACAGCTTATATTAGGATCCATAATTTACATACTCTATTTGCTGTCAAATTTGAAAACAAATTTAGTCTTTCATTTGAAAATATTTGACTATTAAAGCAACTCATTAGGTTTGCTGCCTGTGTTCAATTAGTCTTCTTAGTTTACCTTGACAAAAACCAGACAACTGCTTCTACCAGTTGGTAACATGCATAGGGAAAAGGAAGACAGTGTCTCTACTGGTAGAATAGAAAGCTGATGAGCTTCTGGACAAAGTGCATCTGATCTACACCTATACTACAACAACTAAATCTATGCATGAGAAAGCTCTTAAAGCACTTAAAATTAACTCCAGTCTCTAAAAAGCACTTCTGGGAAACAACCAACCCTCACAGAACCTAACAAAAGTCAAAAGCAACAGTTAGATACTCAATCTGAGACTCGCAGAAGTTATGAAAAGTTCTATCAGCCACAAACATGCTCTTCAGGAAATCATTATTATTTAGGTAAGCAAAAATATTGATCATTTCACACAGAGTTACTTTACAAACTCAAACCTAATGCTGTTGCCTCTCTCCACATGAACTGAAAACTTCAGAAGACACAGCATTTGTCTAAAGCATAACCAACTAAAACAAGCTGTGACAAACATCAATTTTGGTTTTGGAAGCAAGCTTCAAATTACCCTACAAACAGGACCACGAAAGGGATTTTTTTTTCCCTTTTAAATTTTAAATATAATTGAGTTGCTATTTTAAAACAACTTACTTCAAATGCACTATTTTCAAACATCTGTAGTTTCTCCCACTGTTATGGAAACAACTAACTACACAGAATCAAAAACTGCAATTGCTGGAGCAACCAGAGCTCTTACAGCTTTGTCTCCCTTAGTCTATTTTAATCAAGCATTGCCATACAACAGACAAAAAAAGTGTTTGTGGTCAACAGATTTTAAGTGAAGTGACATTTATCTTCATTACAAGATCACACTCGAAAAGAACCAGACATACAAAACAGTAAGTCAGTTTAGAGCAGTTTATATTTTCCTTGTACCCCTATGAGCATAGCTTCACAAACATTCTTCATTTAACAATATGGTGGTAAATTAACCTTTCCTAACAGTAAGATTATATTAAAAGTTAATTCACACAACTATTATACCCCAATTTTAGCAATTTATTAGTTTCCTTTTAATTAATACTTAACATAGGTATTTATATAGCCTTCATAACTGCAGCATGCAGCTAGCAGGGGGAAAAAAATCACCAGCCAGAATCAGGCCCTAGCAATATGCTATTGTTAAAATGTAAAAAAACAGAGTTGCAGATGTAAGAGGAAAAAACTGCTTTTCAGCTACCCTGAACTTTAACTGATGAAACACATTTCACAAGAAACTAACAAGTAACTCCTCCTAAAAAAATTATTAGATGCAGAGAAGAAATACAGGAAATAGTAAATGTTGTAATCTTTAAAAAGCAAAAATTATTCTAGCTCTAATGTCAGGTTTTCAATTGACTACTCTTGCTGAGGAGGCTCCTCTGGCTCCCAAATTTATGAGGTTTAGGACGAAATAAACAAAGACCATATATAAAGAGCTGTACTAGCAATCTGTTAAGGCTGAAGAATCCTGCACTCAATACAGACAGTTTGTTGGATCACTAAATAAACAGGGACATAGAATATGAAAATATTCTCTCCATTTAACCAGCAACCTAGAAATAAAGTAGCCTAGTAAGGGATTTAACTGACCCTAATACATAGCAGACATGAAAATAAGATGAGATACAATGTGCTATACAAAATGCTGTAACAACAGAAAAAGGACACAGGTAAAGCTCAAACCAAGTCTGACCATTTCAAATATACTAAGCTGATTGCATGAAATACCAATTAACAAGGGGAAAACTAGTTTGTTTGCAGTGCTTTTGTACCACTGCTCCTAATGGAAGCTTTTCAGCTGAAGGCTGTCTCCTCCTGTACCTACTGCCAGTATTGCAACCAAAACAGGTAATTGCTTACAGCTATACCATATTTATGCTACCCTGAAGAATGGGGGTTGCTGCCAAACAGCTCACAAATTACTGTAACCACTAACGGCTGGCCCACTTCATAGCATCTGGCCACAACCAAACTGAAGAGAACCTGGAAAAGGCTCTGTACCTGTCTCACAGATGTTTGTGAGAACTGGCACACAGGACTCCATAGCATAATGCTCAGATTTTAAGCTACATAGAGACTATATTTACTTCAGTAGGTCTCTCTGTTGCTTAAAAATTTCAGTATCAGTATAACTTACAAACAAATTTCACCTTCTTACCTGTTCACCCTCCGAGGACACTTATCTGGTTTGATATCCACCTCATAGAGGTAGACATCAATCTTTGGGATTTCAACTTGGAAGCAGTTGGCCAGCAGTTTAATGGGTTTGCCCATGGTGCCATAGCCAGGACGTCTGGGCACCATGAGTAGGGGCTGTGCCCCGACGGGTCCTGCAAAAGAAAAAAATACCACAGATTAGAAGATAAGCACAACAGACAAGCTGTGTTGCAAAGGTACTTCTTGCTTACATTTCAACAATTTAAAAATACGTAAGGCTCCTTGCATTTGCAGGTACACATACTTGTCTCTCATTGAGACTTACTAACGTACTCCCCTTTTTCAGTCTTAGGCAATTCCCCAGACAGACTCAAGGGTGACCAGGCAGGCACCAGAGCCAGCACACTGGAAGAAGGGAAGATTAGCTGTATCAAACAGTACACATCAAACAGCGTGCTAACCTATTAAGTTCCAAATGAACACTTGCCCATTTTTCCTTCATGAGCCTCCACCCACAGCTAGACTGTTTTACTGATGAGTTTCAGCTTCTGTGATTAGCATGAATAAAATCAGATTTCCGAAACAAACAAAAAGAAAGTGTGCTTTTCTTCATAACACTTTACTATTGCAGAACGCTTGACCGCCATTAAAACACAAAAAAGTTTTACAAGTCTTTTCTGAACACCCTAGTAATAACAAAGTTGCCGCAGAATACAAAAATATGGGAGCAGTTCTGGACTGATGTATGTTGTTTGTGATAAGCTCTTAATTTCATTGCCATTATTAGCTTAGTCTTGGAAGACATATTATTCTTGAACTTCGCTGGCTGAAAATGGATGAATAGTAAAACCATTACCTCCTGTCTAACTGCACCGATAAAGCCAATTGGCCAGAAGAGGAAAGACTAAGATTAAGACACGGGATTGTAAAACTCTTGATTACTTATACATCAGAGAAGAATACCCGCACAGCTGCTCAGAGAAACCATCGAAATCTGCAGTAAGAGATGGGTATTTTGAAAGTCAGCTAAAAACGCCTGTCTAGTAAGATATGTTACATTCTCATCTGGTTATTGATTTGATTTAACTTACTTTGCATAATTTAGATGAGAATCCTCAGCTCAAGATCTGGGTTACTCATGCCTTACAAAACCAAACACAGTAGTAAACACAGTCCACTTTCAAGAATTTCTACTGGTATTTCCACTTTAAAAAAATCTCTTTCCAGTCAAGAAACAACAAAACCAAAACGCTTTGTAGCCTGAGTTTTAAAAAATTACTCATCGTACAAATGTCATGATTTACAGAGCATTCGATTAAGTTAAAATTCTCCCCTCTACTCCTACTCAGTGACGCAGATAGCAATTCCAGCCCACTCATTTTCATAGAAGAGTTAAAATGTCAAGTGCTGGTAAAAAAGTCTTATTTGCCTTTTGATTAATCTCCACCATTCCCAGAAAAAAAATCTCATTATCTTGAAGGAAACCTTGTACTGAGAATAGGTGAACATCAAAGCTTAAGTTCTACTGTAATATTTGTCTGGCTCTACCCAGAAACCTACCAAAAAATTCTGAGTGGGCTTGGCTTCGAGCCATAAGATAAAACAAAAACATAAAACAAGAAGCATCATTTAAAACACCCTCACAGACTATGCTTATGCAAAACTTGTTCCAAGCATCTGTTCTCTTAAAATTTCTCTTCATTTTAATACTGTCACACAAGTAAAAGCAGCTCTACAATTTACTCCAGATATATTTTCAGAATATAAGCATATGCAAAAAGTTACTACTAAACATTTGAGTGGCATAAATGACTCAATAGCTTATTTTAACATTATGAAGACATACATGCCATAGTTTATATTTAGTTCATATCTGTAGGAAACGCCAAGAAAACTGCTGAAATAAAGGTAACGTTATAAAGGTTGCTATAGTCTGGTCTGCCCTGTCTCCCCCCACCCCATTTGTTAAAATCACATAAAATGTGAAAACAGTTGCTAAAATCTGCAAGCACAGAAACAACAGCCAGCATGAAGACAATCTTCATGAAGGTTAAGTGAAGAAGCACATGGAACAGGGAAATACAGTATGGCTGAAATCTTTGTCACCATCTCCTCTGGAAGTTGCACTAAGTTGAACTTTTTAACTGAGCACTCAACTACTGGAGAGTGCTGGAGAAGAGATAAACCCCTTTACGGGAATGCTATCCTGTTGTTTACTCCTTTGCACAGCTTAACAGAATCCTAGTGATCAACTGCACAGGGGCAAAAACCTGAAACAGAGAAATGATATTCAGTTACTAATATGAGACAGGGTGCACTTCAAAATCCTGGGTCATGAAAGAAACGCTCTACCCAAAGCCAAGTATGCAAGCAGGCTTCCAAACTCTGCTCCTTGAAAAACAGTGGTGAACAAAACAAGAAAATACCAGTTGTTAGACAAAGGCTTTCTTTACCCTGACTTGTTCAGCTGTACCACACGTGGCTCCTCAGGAAACAGCTCACCCTGGAGGAAGTTAGAACCCAGATTTTGGCAAACATGAACTAAGTGACCAATAAATGAATAAGAAGTGCAGGTCTACACACTATTCAGGAACAATTTTTTTTTTTTTAAAATTCAGCTGATTTTGCTATCATTTGGTGCGATACACACGCTCCCTTGGACAGGTTAACTTAAAAGCATGAGTATAGTGTAATTCAATTCTGTTATCACTGTCCAAATACACTAGCACCCACTCAGAATATCCTCCTTTCAAAATACACTAAATTGCCAGATTGCATGTTGTGAAAGTCTGCGTCACTGGCTTCAAACCTGTGACTCAAAACCCAATAAAACATAAATAACAAACGACGCTCTCTGAGGACAGCTACTGCTCCCGTATCATATCAATGACTCACTCAACCTCATGCCTAAGTCCTGTGTCAAGCTAATGGAAATAAACACACGAACCAAAAATACCAGAAGTAGTATTATTCTAAATAGCACAGAATTACTATGATTGGCAGACCGATGCCTTCATGTTATTTAACCATTGCAAAAACAAAGTCGTTAAAGTTCCAAAAATCTTTGCAAAAGCATTACTGCAGCACAGCCCAGCTCCGCAGCAGATGGAGGAACGCGCAGTCTCCCGGTGCCTCCTGAAGAGCAGCTCTGCACCGTTCAGCTGCCCACAAGTTTTAGAGGAGAAACTTCTTTGTGTTTAAGAAACTATTATGACTCTGCCATTAGAGCATCAGGTACGTACACATGCACATAAACCAAGTCTGTTTAGCATGCCAGAATAGTACTCGGTTCATAAAACCAGATAAGGAAGGTCCCCAAAATTGACAGTCAACTGATTTATAACACAGAACAATGAATACACAGATAGGAACTAAAACTGACGCTTCAGACAGATTCTTGGAAGGCTTTTATACAGCAAGGGAGTATGTTTCAAGAAGATACAAGATCCACCACTAAATAACTTGAACCTTCTGCATGTACAGTTACTCATTAGAAGCTATACAGGAAAAACCTGCAGAGAAAATATTTAACTAAGCATTTAAATCGGTAATAACACAAGGCAGAAAAAAAAGAATCTCTTCAGGATCTAAAGTTATATCAATTTATAAATTACCGTTCATAGCATTTGCTTAAGTCATTATTCACGAACACCCTTCAGCAATGTTGGAAGACTTTTTTCACAAGTGAACGTTCAATAAACAAGTAGGAGCAAAAGCCCTTACAATATATCTGCAAAACAGACAAATACTAAACCAGGAAAGTTCCATCTACTCCATTTACCAACAGTGTGTGTGTGCTATATACAACAGCACACAAAGACCATGGTTTGCTCCCTACCACCACTGCCACATTTAGAAGTAGGTATCTCGAATCCCTGTTGCATTTCACAGGGGATTTACACTGGTATTTCCCACGGGCGTATATGGGACACTGCTGTTCCAGCCCAAAGTGCACAGGTTATCTGTGCCTGATGCATTAGGCTGGGTAACATGCCAAATAACCTACGTCCCATAACCATGTAGCTCACTGATGGGATGGAAGATACTTTGAATAGCTTTGCTCATATTCAAGCTAATATTTCAACAAAACCCCCAAAAAGATGAAAAAAAGGAACTGTCACTTTTAGAGGGCTTAATGAGGAAACTAATATTTCAAAACAAAGAAACAAACAAATATTTGTGAAAAGCTCATGCCACTACTACTTTTTCAAAGTCTTAAAGTTTGGAGTAACATTAAAATATGGGGACAATGAAATTAATTTCTAGTGCGATTATGTGGCACCTCTGCCAACAGAACCATTTACTCCAACAGAACTGGAAAACAGTGGAAGTTTGTAGTTGTCAGTATTCAGATCCACAATTTGAAAATTCCTGTTAAAGTCAGATCATATTCCAGACAAATATGGAAGTCCCTCAAATGGTTTAAATGAGCTCTGAATCAGAACCTTTTCTTCTGTGGGATTATGTATGTTATAATAAAGATTAAACACAACAAAAATTGACTGCGATTTCTATGGCAATACAGCCAGCAATATAGAACACATCTGGCGTGCATCCAAAGCACAGGCTTGAATCTACCTAGCAACCAAATGAAGCCCTAATCAGAATAAAGCCTGAACAGACAGAGCAGAAACACAGAAACCTGCAAATACTTTCAACGAACCATTTTACGGAAAACTGAAGCTTTTGGCATACAAGAGAGTTTTACAGCATGAAGCAAAATACTGATTTCTAGCAAGACGCTAATAGAAAATACAGATCTCCTTACATGATCTTTTCTTTACAGAAAGGCACATCAGTACCAAGCTTCCAGCAAAAAATTATCCTCTTTCCTACTGTGGCTTCAGTGTTATAAAACCAAAAAATATTAACAGATGATGACTTAATAGATTTACTTTTGTTTGTAAAACAGTTCTAAATGTCTAATTGAATGGGTGACTGAACATCCTTAAACACATGATAGAGGACTTAAGAGGTAAAATATTATTTAAACTCTAGTTCAGTAACACAAGGCAGATTTGTCTAACAGATCCTATCCTCAGGCTGGAGTCTGCACATGGGAAAAAGCTCTCCATGGAGGGGGGGAGAGGATGGAAGGGAGGAAAAAAAAAAAAAAAAGATTCCCTTTCAGAGGGCCCCTGGCCTCTGCTTGGATGCAGAGGCCCAGCCTG